CATCCGCGAAATCGTACAGGAAAGGCTAATGTTGCCATCAAAGGCAAGCAGAATGTCTATTTTGAGTTGGAGTAAATTTCAGCGGTCAAGATCCGAAATCCGGTCAGGTAATTCCAAATCGGAGGTGGGCATTTCAGCTCTAATGACAAAGAAAAGTAGACTGTCCTCAGAAGTTGAAGGTATAATGACAAATAGGCTAATGTCGAAGCTTTCCAGATGTCTGGGCATGAATGCACCAAGAGTTGCATAAAAACGCTTTCTATTTCAAACTCAAACACATAATTTGGTCTCCAGGCTGTTGGAATGCAGCTCTGATCCATTCCATCCTTATTCTACTTGTTACCCTGCTTCTGACAGTCTCTACGTTTTCTCAAGTCCTCCAGTCCCTTTGAAAGGTGTGGGCATGATCGTTTGTATTTTGAGGAATGATTGAAAGTAAGCAGTCAAATCCATTACAACATACAAATGTAACCTATCCTCTTTCGAAATACCTTCATTTTCTTAGGGGTTTTATGCGTAAGGAGAAAATAGTGTAACTTTTTTGATTCCCGTGAGAAAAAAAACGCGCAAATGCTTTTCTAAAAAAAGATTGATTGCTCCGCATTTTAAGAGTATTTTGTCCCGGTGAGTCATTTGAACAATTGTTTCTGGTACATCTGATTTCTTTGCCGAAAATGGATGCTACCTCCGTCTACCAATTATAGCAAATAAGAAGAAAAAAGTCTTCCTCCATACGCCTAGCTTTGGGGACAAATTCTTTTGCATGTTACAAGGAACACAAATTCACCGCCTTCAACAGCTCCATTAACTAGCTGACATGTTAAATGCCGATCATACATCCCGACCCTTGGTCAACTACAGCCATGAGGAAGCGAAAATCAAAATTGCAGAACTACTTCTTAAAGGCTACGGTAAAAACGAGGGGATTGCGGCAATGACCAGTCTAGACTGGCAGAGTACGAAAAAATACGTTTATTTAAAAGCACTAAAGGAGACTGGAAGATATGCTTCAATCTATCGGTGCGCTAAACTTCACTGTGCTCCCTACAATGTCCGTCTTACTTCAAGCCTTTCCATCACCAGATTGATGGAGAGAATTTGAACTTGTTGAATTCGAATTATTTTTTGGTTAAGAAATTATTAAAATTCAGAGACTGTTCTGTACCATGTGACAGTGGTTTACGCCCTTATTGCTAAAAAACAAAGGAAATAAAGGTTTATTACTTTATTGTGATTGGTTAAGAGGCGAAGGGACGATTCCTCACTCCCAATATAAGCAGCCAAAATAAATCAGATCCAGGATAGTAATTAATTTCCCCACAAGTAGTCCAAACCTAAAAACCAAGGCAAAACGGCTAAAAGTTGAATGTAACTATTAAAAAAAAGAAACATAATTAAAATATTGAATAGGACAGGCAGGATGGAGGGGGGCATTATTCTGGCAACATAGGAGAGGGTTGGAGGACCTGCGTTGTCTGTGACTTCATAGTAAGGGCTTAGACGTCGACTGTTGCAGCAGTGTAGAATTAAAGCATCGGAAAGTAGGGCTCAGAATTGCTATACTACTCTGTGTGATGGTTTCACGAAGATATGAGGCAGCATCGAATGCTCTTTCCGAAGTCAAATGGTGTTGAAAGCTAGCCGTTTTGTCCTGTTTTAAACACAAAGGCGTCACAGAAAAGTGTCAAGTAGGTGTTCAACCCTAACGCACTGGTTTTAAGCCCTCTTAATTCGGTTCAAGTTATCATCTTTGCTTGCTCTCACCACACCCCATGAATATTTGATATTTTTTCCTAATTTTGTTTTGCATAAAAACATCCTTTGGGAATGCACACCTATCATTAATCAAACGTAGGGACTCAACTTTGATAATTTTTCAACACATTTTTCCTTTACCTGAAGGCAAAGAAGGTGCAGAAAAAATTCGTAGGATTCAGAAATGTTTGTTTACTAGAAACTCATTTGTCAAGACACGCATTGCTCAAAACGACAGTTCTGTTAAAATGTCACACTGACCTAAGACATAAATTCTGTGAGTCTATGAAAACAAAAACACAAAAAATAATACAGTCTGTAACTATAATTTTAAGTGAACAAAAGCGCAAATGCATAAAATAAGAATGTAATATATTTTTTTCTCTTAGAAAGAAAAAAACTTTAAGTGAGAAAGATGGGGCACTACACTGTCTCGAAAAAAAATATTAAATGCACAAATAGGTGGGCTGTTACCTCTCCTTGAGTGGCTTATTTAGGCCTGTAGGCACTTGCTTATCTTCATGTACTGTTTAATCTTAGGCATTTGCGTCAGTCTGCCCACATGACGGTGGTTCGCACTGAGCGCCAGCTTCAAAGGCTCCCTGTTAGACTGCCACATTACTCGGAGAAGCTGCTGCATCCGAGTGTTAATTAAACTGGCTAGAGATTGACTTGTTAAAAAATCAACTTTTAGCAGCGCGCAAAGGGAATGGTGAATTTATTTTACCCTCCCCGACGTTTGTTGGGAAAGCCGAGGTGGAATGTAGGCAAATGGGTCCCAATCACATGCGTTAACAAATGCTAATTAGCTGGCAGACTCATTGACTTGCTGTTTAACACGTCCTTCATGTGCCTATTAGAAACGCGCTAAGCACTATACTCTGTCTACTTATTGACAGACGGACTGTTGGCTGGACCTTGGGATAAAAGCGAATTCTTCATTTAGATTTTAAATGAACGAGCTCGTTGGTTGTCAGTCCATGTCTTGCCTTTGCTTTGCTTTTGCCTGTGGCTGTGGGTTTGTACAGTAGATTAAAGACACAAGCGTCATCTACGAGCGTGGTGCTCGAAATTATTCTGAAACTGCTTTGTCGTTGCAAGCTCAGTCGATCTGTTTATTAAGCTAAATATGGTACAACTGGCGCAGAGAGCGTGTTGCATTTATGTAACACAGACCTCAGGTAAGAAATTTGAGGAGTCACATATGTGTGACGCTGGGTGGCGAAGGTGTCACGCATTACGAATTCGAACGAAAAACTAATACTTTTAGAAAAATATAGTGGTAATGTGAACTGCTTCTTCTGAAGTTCTTACGGCCCTGTTATAAGCCAATTAGGTGTTTTAAAGGGTTTGAAAGCACTCTTTCGACGTTTTACATGTCTCCTTTTAAATAGGGAAGGAAACGACCCTTTAAGGCTATTTTAGAGCAGTCTCTTGTAAAACTATGCAGAAGCTAATAATTAATAAAACGTATCCTACACCTCGGTTTTAACCCATCAGAATGCAACCCGCTGCCTTGAGGGTGTGGTTCACCTCAACCGCCACTGCTAAAGCTTGTTCAAATCTTATTTAAACACATTTCAGTTAGTAAATATTGCCCAAGAGCCGCATTTCCACTACTTTTGCTTTGAGAACTTATTTATAAGACGATGAAATGCAATTCAGTAGGCATTGTGCTTTGACATAACAGGCAAGTGTTTGGGGAGGTCGCTTCTGCTTGCCTCGCCTCATAGCATCCATCTGCATGTTAAACCAGCAAAATTTAACCCCGATATCTTATGCATCCTCAAGGTGGTGGTAAGTGCCCCAATAAAATGCAAGACTTGGCGAAAAACGTGTGCGAGACAGGGAAGTCATTTACAAATTGTTATGGCATTCCATATCTCTGTAATATGTGATGATGCCATCGTTGGGGGCACCGTAGAACTGCAAATTGATTGGTAGAAATGATTACTGTTAGACCTACCGCAAAATTTGCTTCGTTTATCATTTCACCTTTGATAACTTCCCATCTTTGGCACCCTAGATGCCCTAAGCCTTTGTAGCTATAAACGGTCCCATGGTAAGTCCTGCCTCCTGTGTGGGATTTTGCAGCAGCCTATGCATTGACAGGATGTTCTGC